CGAATACATTTGTGGAGTCGTTTAAATATGTTGGATTTTAAATATATTGGATTTTAAACCGTCATACAATTTTTTTCATCGATAGTCTGTAATTGGAACCATAACTCTTATTTATTCAAATTGTATTAATATGTAAAGATCAAGTGTAAACTATATCATCGTTAAATCTTATCTTATAAAACCAGTGGAACTTCAAAATCGTTAAAATTCATGGCTCCCGCCGCATTGCGCGGGTACACAATTAGTTCTTTATTTTAAACAAATTTATACAAATATGTTGTTACTGGTATGCATCTTTGTGTGACGTCTAAGTTCTAACACAAGGTAGGATCCGGGTTCAAGCGTTGTTGGATCAACTTGGTTTTGACCTTCACTCTTCTTTATGTCCCAGATATGTGGATGAAGTTGAAACAGTTGATTATTTTTAGTTCATTGCAAACAAGGGTTAGACATATAGGCAAAGGTATTGAGGTGGTGGAGTTTGGCTTCTTTCGACATGGACTCAATTTCCGATGTTTGTTTTTACCATGGAAGACCAATCTTCATACTCACCTTCTTTAAAAGGAATTTGACAAGCAGTTTCGTGGACCACCATGTAAGTGATTTGGGGGTCTCGTAGCAAAGTGGTGTTTTCTGATCAGTCACCCCATATTGCCTTTTGATATCTAACTATTATCGTAGCATTGGCTTTCCACGCAAAGATTTCAATTACTTTTGGACGGATTGGTGTTGCAATGCAGAGAGGTAATTTCTTAGGTTGCTCGATTCCTTGTCGTTAGATCTCTTCTTCTTTCTTGTTTTTTTTTTTTGTTGAGTGTTAGGTTCTTTTTATTTTTTGACGCACCATGCCTTGCAAAAAGGATCTTCCATATTCTTGTAATCTTATTTTTTTAAACAAATTTGTTGGTTAAAAAAACTATCAATTCACACACAAGTAGTCCAAATTTATATTGATTATAGAAATTAGAGTAAATTACATTTTTCCTCTTATAGTTTGTTAAAAAAATTATGATTTTCGTCTATGTGGTTTAAAACTAACGTTTTTTTTTATTTTTACGTCTTTCAATTTATTGTTATTTTTGTTCTTAAACTAATTTTTATCTTTTTTAAGTAAGAGGGACCAAAATAATAAAACATTATAAGCCACAAAAACTAAAACAACATTAAATTATCAGTTATAAGAACGAAAATAACAATGATTAAATTATCAATTATAAGAACGAAAATAACAATGATTAAATTATCAATTATAAGAACGAAAATAACAATGATTTATAAATCATAGGGATGAACCACAAAATCTAAATTATAAGGACTAAAATCGTAACTTTTAATAAATCTTAGGGACGAAAAAGGTAATTTACTTTAAAGATTAAAAAGTTCGAAGCGACGACTCCTGCCTCTCCCCCTTCTCAATCATCTTTCTTTCAGATTCTCTGTACATCCAATTTTCAACTTCTGTCTCATTAATGGAACTCGCCGTTGTCAGAAGCAATCACAAGATATCTCCGGCGACTTACACGCCGGAAATGGATCCGAAAATCTGGCGGAAACTCCCCATTGAACTACTCGAACGAATACTCTCTTTCTTACCTCTTAGAACCTTCTTATACCTCCGATCAACCTGTAAATACTTCAGATCTCTCATCTTCTCTCCAGTTTTCCTCTCTAGACACACCAATTCCCTTTCGTCTTCTCCATTATCTTCCTTCCTATTGCTGTCTCACCCTCAATCAACTCATTACCTCATGTATGATACCGATCTCAACACTTGGCGTAATTTGAAACTCCCTTTATCTCGCTCTCTGTCCTGTACGCCTCTCCTCTCAACCGCTAGCTGCCTCCTTTGTTTCTCTGCCGTGCCGGATTCTTCTAATTCCGCCTTCCTCATCTACAACCTCCTCGCCAGGTCTTCGAGGATTGTCAAATTTCCCGAATTCCCTTTCGCCTTTGAACTCCCAACCCTAATTACCAACTCCTCTGGTTACAAACTCTTTTGCCTGTCATCCCGTTCTTCATCTCACGTCTATGCCTACGTCTATGACTCCAGGGTTCGTCAATGGATCCGATACGATGGGTTCCATCGTTCCTTGGGCGACAGTTATCATCAACAAGGCGTTTTCTGCAATGGATCTCTGTATTTCGGGACACGAGAGCCATTCTCAGTGGTAGGGTTCGATCTGAATACCGGAAAATGGGAGAGATTGGAGGTGAGTTTGCCTGAAGATCTGACGTTTGCCCGATTGGCGGCAGGGGAAAATAGGCTGTTTATGTTTGGGGGAATCGGGAGAAACGGGATATCGAAGACAATGAAAGTATGGGAACTGGATGAACAGGAAAGGATATGGATGGAAGTAGAAAGCGTACCAGATATGATGTGCAGGAAATTTGGGTCAGTTTGCTACCATAATTATGAACACATCTACTGTTTTTGGCATCAAGGTATGATTTGTGTTTGTTGTTATACTTGGCCTGAGGTTTTGTATTACATGGTGTCTCGAAGGACTTGGCATTGGCTGCCAAAATGCCCTTCTCTTCCTCACAAATCCAGCTGTGGTTTCAAATGGTTTTCGTTTGCTCCTCAGCTCTATGCCGCTGTTTAATTTATTAGCTTCTGGTTTGCTACTTTATATTTATGATACTTTTGTGGTTTTGTTTCTTGCAATTTGGGTTTTTGCTTAGATCTCCATGGTTTCAAGAATCAGTTGATTTTTGGATATCGTTTCTGGAGTTCATTACAGTGATTGTGTATTTGGTTTTGATGGAAAAATTGAATTCTATTATGTGTTTTGATGTTTGAGAATGGTCTTGGTTTCTAGAAAAAGGGTTTTACACACAAATCTGTGGGTTTTGTGAGTATGATTCAACCCCACCCGCACCCCTTGATTGATGCGGGTCAATATCTGCCACCAAAACTGTTATTAGCAACGGTAATAAAAACTTTTGAATGGTAAACATAAGTTAAAATTTTCTCTAAAATTATTTCACTATTTTATCATCTGAAGAATAAAATAATCACTTTTGAAGTATTCATTCAATTTAAATTTTGAAGTTTTCTATTTTGTTCCTTATTTTAAAAAGGGAAGTGCTAATTTAATAGGGGTGTTAAATATCTTTGAAATATCTTTGAAATATCATTAAAACACATAAAATATCAAAATAAATCAAATAATATAATATATTTTATTATTA